TGTGTGTGGGGGGTGTGCCTGGCGAGTGTTGGGGAGCCCGTGCCTGGGCGTTGTGTGTGTGTGGGGGGTGTGCCTGGTGAGTGTTGGGGAGCCCGTGCCTGGGCGTTGTGTGTGTGTGTGGGGTGTGCCTGGTGAGTGTTGGGGAGCCCGTGCCTGGGTATGTGTAGGTGTGTGCCTGGTGAGTGTTGGGGAGCCCGTGCCTGGGCGTTGTGTGTGTGGGGGGGGTGTGCCTGGTGAGTGTTGGGGAGCCTGTGCTTGGACGAGTGTAGGTATGTGCCTGGGTGTGTGGGGTGTGAGTGTCTCTTGGGTTGCTCTGGGCCAGGTGTTCAGAATCAGGTACCCTGCAGGTGGCAGATGTGGCTCTTAGAGGGTAAAAAAAAGTACCTGAGCTCACTAGGTTTGTCAGATCCAGGTCCAGCCCTGCTGTCCTCCCAGGGCCAGTCTTCAGGGGCTGCCTATACACCCAGTGTGGAGGGTGCCTGCAACACCCTTGGAAGATGGAGGCCATTCCTCCCAGAAACCCTGCAGGGGCAGGTCTGGCCTGCTGCCAGTATGGCCACTGTGGTCAGCAAGGCTGGCGCTCTACATTGCGCTCAGTGGGGGCCGTGCTGCAGTCTGTGACAGGATCACCAGTGCGAGGGAGCTCTCCCAGCAGACCCAGTGCATAGTGAGGGTCGGTCGGGAGCAAGCAGGCCTATGTGGGTGGATGCCTGAGCAGACAGCAGAAAGCTGGGAAGGCCCTCAGGCTGGGGTTCAGGGAGTCAGGAGCTGCCAGCAGGAGACCCCTGAGAAAGGAAGCCCAGGACCAGCACTGGGGCCAGCGTCTGCCGTTTGTCAGGAGGGACAAGCCCTGCACCCATTTCACAGATGAGCCCTTGTGGGGTTGAGGAACTTGCTGATTGTCCCAGGATCAGGAGGTGACAGGTACAGATTTCCCTCAGAATGAGCACTCTGAGGCTTCTCTGCCCTTGGAGCCCCCCGCCCCCCAGCTCTGACTCTCATGGGCCTGAGCTCTGCAAGGGGCCTGCACAGCCAGGCTGGGGCTCCTATGACGGGGAGGGCTCATTTCACATGGAGAGGTGGCCGAACCCCTGGCCTTGCTGAGGATAGCCCGTGAGGACTCCTCAGTAGGCATTTTGCAGCCTGTGTTCTATCCCTACAGAGCATCCCTCTTCTCTTCTGCAGACAAACTCAAGAGAGTGGCATCAAGGAGTCCGTGTCCTGGGGCACTCAGAGGACCCAGGATGCACTTTATGAGGCTAGGGCACCCCTGGAACGTGGCCACTCAGCAGAGATCCCTGTGGGGCAGCCAGGAACACTGGTGAGCCCTCTCTGGAGGGGGTTACATGAGATGGGGTGGGGGTGGGTAAGACCCTGCCTTGTGGGGTGTGACTAGGAGGCTGCTGTCCCCCCAGGCTGCGGATGTACAGATGCAGAACATGGCACTGAGGGGTCCTGATGGGGAGCCCCAACCTGGGCTGGAGAGCCAGGGCCGGGCTGCCTCCATGCCCCGCCTGGCAGCAGAAACACAGGTGAGTAGTCTGGAGGGGTGCGTCCAGGGTGAGGGTGAGTGAGGGCCTTACCCCGTGAGTCCTTTGAGTGAGGAGACCTAGGGTGGGGAGAAGCAGGGTCCCCAAGCAGCCCCACAGGAGACTCCATGGGTAGCCCCTGTAGCCTGACACTGTAGCCCCATGGTCCTCCAGGGCACTGCGGGCTGCACAGGGCAGTCCACCCCTTGCACATGCTCGGCCTTTTAGGGGACGTAAAGGACCCGGTCCCTGATCTGTGTTCGTCCCCATCTGCCATACCGCCCATTCTCCATCTTTATTAGCTGTGGTGCCTGCTCCCCAGTTCTGTGTCCCCTCAGCACTGTATCCCCATCTCTGCCCTCTCTGGGACTCCACTGTGGCCACACAGCCACTGCCTGGGTCCAGGAAAGGGTTCCTCGTGCCTCCGCCCACCTGGCCTGTCCTGGTCCCTGACCCTCTTGTCTTTCTGGACCCCTGTGTCTGTGGTGCATGTGACTAAGGAGCAGGGTCCCTGGCTCAAGGGGCTGAGGCTCTGTGTGCACTCTGGGACAAGCACCTTCCCAAGGACACAGAGGGGTCTGCTTGGAGGGACTGCAGGGGCCTGAGCCCCCACCCTGACATTCAGGGCTGCCTGGCTGCATGTCTCCTCCTTGCTGCCCACACCTCCTTCCTGTGGCTCCTGGTTCGGAACGTTGTCTCTTCTGCTCTTTGCATGTCCTTACTCGTGGCCTAACCTAACCCTAACCAGTGCTCACCCTGACCCTCACTATCCTTTCTTTCTTCTTGCTGTTCTTGCCTCTTGCCCTGAAGCCCCCATAGTGGCCAAGTGTAGAGCAGCTTTCTCATCCTCCATGGGGGTTGGCTGTGCCCCAGCCCCACAGGGAGAGCCGCTTTCCATAGTGCAGCCTTGGGGGCAGCTTCAGGGACCAGTCTCTCTGACAGAATGAGGAAAATGATCCCTAGGCAGCTATGGGCCCCGCTTGGGATTCTCTACCTAGGCCAGTGGCCCCACTCCTGGCTGCACACAGGCCAGGCACCTGTGACTCCCAGCAGGTTCCTTCTGACTGGGCCTGGGCTGCTCTTCTCCCCGGGCCTGCCTTACCTGCAGCCCTGTGCTTCCCCAGGCCCAGGCCACGCACCTCCTTGTCCTTTTTCCTTGCCCACAGCCGGCCCCTGATGCCAGCCCCATGAAGCGCTCCATCTCCACGTTGGCCCAGCGCCCACACGGGGGCCACCTCTGCAACACCACCCTGGACCGCCCTCCCCCCAGCCAGGCACCACATCACCACCACCATCGCTGCCACCGCCGTAGGGACAAGAAGCAGAGGTCCCTGGAGAAGGGGTCCAGCCAGCATGCCGACACGGATGGCGGTGCGTGTGGAGGGGCCTGGGGTGCCTGTTAAGGGGCTGTGGCTTGATCTGGGGGATCCCAACAGCCCACAGGAATCCTCTTCCTTGGTGTCTCTCATGGCCCCAAAATGGGCTAGAGCAAGAGGAGTGAGTTCTAGGTCTGGGGACCAGTCAGGACCACATGCCACCCGCTTCCCTTCCCCAGCACCGCTGAGGTGTGTCCTGCTCCCTGTGAGGACTGGGTCTGGAAAGGTCTTGCTGCCTATGCTGGGCCCAACTGAGCTGACTTCTCCTCTTCCTGGCCAGCACCAAACAGCGCTGCAGGGCCCAGCCTGCCCCCAGGAGAGGGGCCCACAGGCTGCCGGCGGGAACGGGAACGCAAGCAGGAGCGAGGCCGGTCCCAGGAGAGGAGGCAGCCCTCGTCCTCTTCCTCAGAGAAGCAACGCTTCTACTCCTGTGACCGCTTTGGAGGCCGTGAGCACCCTCAGCCCAAGCCCTCCCTCAGCAGCCACCCCACGTCCCCAACAGCAGGGGAGCCGGGACCCCCACCACAGGTGAGTGGCAGGGTGTGTGGGCCCCTTTCAACTCCTTCCCCAGACCACCCAGCCTCCCTGCTCTGCCTGCCGCCTGCTGCCTGAAGGGCCTGAGCTGCACTGCTCCTTGCTGCCCGCTCAGCCTGCACTCCAGCCACTGTCCCTGCGTGGTTGTGCCAGGGGCTTGCTGCTCTCCCAACCACTTCTTCACCTCCCGCCTTGCTGTGCTGTGGGAAAGGGCCATCCCCCACTGCCCTCCCTCCTGCTTCCCATGCCTCATGACCCCTGCTGCCTTGTGCTGCACACTGTGTCTGTTTGGTTTGGTTTTATTTTTTGTTTGCTGCTCTTTTTTTGTGTAGGGTAGTGGTTCAATTAACGGGAGCCCCTTGCTGTCAACATCTGGTGCTAGCACCCCGGGCCGAGGTGGGCGGAGGCAGCTCCCCCAGACACCCCTGACTCCCCGCCCCAGCRTCACCTACAAGACCGCCAACTCCTCCCCTGTCCACTTTGCTGGGGCTCAGAGTGGCCTCCCGGCCTTCTCCCCTGGCCGGCTCAGCCGTGGGCTTTCTGAACACAATGCTTTGCTCCAGAGAGACCCCCTGAGCCAGCCCCTGGCTCCAGGCTCTCGCATCAGCTCTGACCCTTACCTGGGGCAGCGCATGGACAGCGAGGCCTCTGCCCACACCCTGCCTGAGGACACACTCACCTTTGAGGAGGCCGTGGCCACCAACTCAGGCCGCTCCTCCAGGACTTCCTATGTGTCTTCCCTGACCTCTCAGTCCCACCCTCTCCGCCGTGTGCCCAACGGCTACCACTGCACTCTGGGACTCGGCACTGGCAGCCGGGCGCGGCACAGCTACCACCACCCAGACCAAGACCACTGGTGCTAGCTGCACGGAGACCATGCGCCTCAATGCGGCAGGCACCTGCGGGTTCCCGTTGATGAGTTTTATCATCCATGCTGGGCTTCGGGGCCGCAGCCCTGGGAGGAGGGGCCCGCCACGCACCTCCTTGGTGGAGGCCCCGTTCCTCTCTCCTTCTTCCTCTTTTACACTGGATGGACTAATAAAGCCCTTCTTAGAGGGACATGGCTCTCTAACCCCTCGTGTTCTGCCTCCCTGGGTCTCATGCCACACGTCAGAGCCTAAGCAGGGCATGGCTGAGCTGAGACAGACCTGATGGGTCCAAATCCCAGGTCTTGGCCTCCAGCATCCAGAGCAGGTGCCCAGAACCTCGTTGAGGAGGCCTGAGTCTCGTGGGGAGCACTCACATCCCCATGTGTGCTGGTGGGCCGGGCACGCCTGAGAGCGTGGAAAGAGCCCAGCTGTGGCCGGCAGCGGGCCTCCTGCTCACACACTGCTGTTGCTCTTGCCACTGAACCGCAGATGGCGTAGAGTCACACTCTATCTGTCCCTGGACACTGCTGCCCCGCAGGGACTAAGTCTGGAGAATGCTCTTGCTGTCGGCTTCTGGTTGCAGCACCCTTCACTGTCATTTCTGTATACTTGATCTGGAACATAGAAAAGCAGGGGAGGAAATGTCGACTTTAAAAACCAACCTGTAGGAAGGTCTCCACTGTTGTGTGCTCCTGTGTGGACTCCCCCAGCTCCCGGTCCTTCCCCGGCCGCCCTGGCTCTACCGCTCGACCAAGTGCCTGACCTCTGGCTCCTGGCATCACACGCTGGGCGAGTCCTCTGAATCATCGGGTGGATTGTGTGAAAACTGCTCATAGTGGCCAACAGGTAGAAAGCTGGTAGCCCTGGACGACAGCAGCACATCACAATTGGTGACAGGTGACTGCCCCATGAACCTCTCGCAGTAAGGAGGTTCTAGGAAGCCGCAGAGCTGCAGGGCATGTGCTTGAGTGAGGCACTTTCAGTCTGTTCTATGTCTGATTCTCAGGGACGGATGCCTGCCAAGGAGGGCGTGATCTGTGTGTGAAGTGTTCTCCGAAGGCTGAGGAGATTGAAGGGCCCGTGGGGAGGGGGAGACTGGACCGAGGGCTGTGTGTTGGGCCATCAGGCAGGAGGGAGCAGGTTGCYGGAGGGGACTGGCAGGGGAGAAGTGACTCCTGGGCCGAGGCTGGGTGTGCAAGCCCAGCAGGGGTCCCAACCCAAACAAAACCTGACCTCATGGCCGCTCTCCAAAGAGAAAGTGGCTCACCACTGGGCATGTGTGGGTGAGTCCGTGGCCGTGTCCTCCGTGTCTTGAAACTTCAGAGGACCTCTCTGGGACTTTTGGATTCTACCCCATGAGTCTCCTCAAAGAAGCTTTGTGGGTGTGTGTGCGTGTGTGCTCACAAGTGACGGGCGTGTGCAGGTGTGTCACTGAGTGGTGTCGACAACCATAGGGCTATGCAACAAAAGACACATTCAATAGAAACAAACACACAGGCCCACCGCCTGGTCTGGGGTTTCAGCATGATTGTGACCAAACCTTTTTATAGAATTTCCTTATGTGAAGGCACAATACTCTGAAACTTAACAATTAGCAGAATATTTTATTCCAATAGGATAAAATTAAGCAGGAATCTTGGACTGTGCATGTGACTCTGCACTTGTGTGGCAAGTAGAGGGCTGTGCATTTTGATACTGGTGTTTGTCTCTGTTCCTGCCCTAGCCCGTGTTCTTGGGTGCCGAATGCACACATTCCATGTAGAACCACAGCTGTCTCTCTGGGCAGTCCTGGGTCAAGAGCCCTCTTTTCTAGACCCACACAACCTAGCTGGCTGGCCTGGATCCTTCTAGGCATTGGCATTCATGGCAGTTGCAAGGTGGGGGAAGGAGACATCAGGGCTTGCCTTTTTGACTTCGGGTTTGTTTCTGTACTGTCTCTTTTCAAGCTATCGTCTGTTTCCCTTGAAGTCTTACAGTGAGTTGCCAAATTTGAAATGCATCAGCCAGCTGTCTGCATCTGGAACCTGTCAAGCAGCGGCTGGCCTTGAACAAGTCATGTGTGCATGTAGAATATACACATATACACGTTATTCCAGTATGTGCATGAAGTGTGTATCTTCCTACTTTTTGATACAATGTACTCATTTGTTAATTTTTAATTATATTTGATATAAATTGAAGGTTTGTTGCAAAACTTTATATTTAACAACAGTGTTAGAGAGAGAGAGAGAGAGAGAGAGAGAGAGAGAGAGAGAGACTGACCCAACCATGGAACATAACTGGTATCTACTTAAAAAAAAAAAAAAAAAAGAATCCTGTGATTGACTTGTTTGCTGCCTGAGTAATATTTACAAGCCAAACTTTGGATTCTGATATTGTTTCTACAATGATATTTTGTATGAAGCAAAGTCCTTGGATTAAAATAAAAACTTAGCAAAAAAAATAATAAAAAACAAAACCCCTGCCGTGCTGCCTGTGGTACATGGGCATGAGTCTTGATGCACCTAGTGGGCGGGGCACCCTGCCAGGAAGGCGCAGGAGAAAGTGCGACGTTCTGGACCTGCCTGTGTAAGTGTGGCTGGGTTAGGGCGGGGGGGGGGGTCCTGGCCTCCACAGGGTGTGGACTGCCCTTCCCAGGGGCCTCCAGGCCCACTTCGGATCTCCACATATGGGTGAGTGGACACCTATTGTCCCGGGCACAGGTGGAGAGCATCCTGCAACTCCCAGAGACCTGGGGGCTTTGCTCCTGAGCTGCAGTTTCTCCTCATGGTGGTCTCTGGTTCTTACGTCCAATTTCTTAAACCCAGGCTCCTGAAACAGGTGGTTTTCCTGACTGCTTTTTCTTCTCTCTTTTCCCACTCCTGGTGATCGCAGAGATAAATATAGGCATTTGTCTGTTCAAGGGCTGGGAACACATTTCATCCAGTAACTACTGAGGTGGTGGAAGGAGCTAAGCTGCATTCTCATTTGTGCAGACGTGGTTTGACATTTTGAAGGGGGAAAGTAGGGAGGGGAAGGGTTTGAGTTCAAGAGAGTCAACGAGGTAGAGAGGCAGAGGGTCAGTGTGTCACCAAAGGGATCGAGGAGGCACCCCTGTGAGGACAGGGGACCTCAGCTTAGCCTGGATATGTCAGAGGTGAGACACAAGCAAAGGTCTTAAGGGCAGCAAAGGTGTACGCACCCCAAGGCAGAGTGTATTGCCTGCCCCTCAGGGAGGAGACTGAGGCACGCCAAAGGTGAGCTCCCTGTGTGTGTGACTTTCCAGGGGACAAAAGTGCAGGTCCTTAGGCCTCTTCAGAATTCAGTCTCACAATAGTCCCACTGCATTGAGTTCAGGATGTCCCTCGTCTGTCGAAACAGTCTGGCCACCAGTCATCTGGGGGCATGTTGTGCAGTTCTTTGAACCTGGAGACTTGTACATTAATATGTTCGTGTTCTCATCAGTTTGTGGCCAGCATGCACTGAAAGTCTTGTTCATCTTACCAAAGGTCTCCATCTCCTAGAGCCTCTCCTTCTCCCTCAGAGCCCACCTGTCTCAGTGCATAGGCAGTTAGGCCAGCTGTGGCTGACAGTTGTCTGAGTAAGGAGTCTAGCTTCTACCAGCATGGGGAGATACCCATCCCCTTCTCAATCGCATTCTCGGAGGCCCTTCTGAGTTGCGAGAGAAGCGCATTTTCAGTTGCAAGCCTGTTTCAGTAAATACTTCAAGAAGGGGAGGTCAGGGCCTGTCATCTGTGTGGCTTAGAGCATGGTAAGTTTTCCTGCCAGTGCTGAGCTTTCCTGAGGGAGAGGTTTTAATGGAGGTGGTGGAGGTGCCAGTGTTGCTGGGGTCACCCTAAGCTACGTGAGCCTGGTAGGTTCACTTGGGGAAAACTCTTAGTGCCAGGGGTTGGGCCCAGTTGTCATGTGCTCAGAGTTCTGCACTTCTCCTTGGGCCCCTGTGCCTTTAAGTGATCTCTGGTGGTGGTTTACGAAGAAGAAATGCAGTTCCAGGTGGTTTCACACATTTTCTCTTCAGCAATTTTTCTCCATAGCATCATGCATTCTGGGGTGTTCCAGTCTCACCCATCCAATCCAGCCAATTCCCTCTATGCTCATAGGAAAAATCAGTAAAGACATTTCCATATTCATTCAGCTTGTTCTGTGAAGTAGAAGAGTTAAGTGTGGCGACGGCTTAGGAGAGTCTGACAGTGAAGCTCCGCGTGAAGGTGGTTTTGCACAAAATGACACTGCCCTCCCCACAGGCTCCCGCTCTGGCCGACATGCGGAGCAGAGCTTTGTGCCTGTTCTAGATCACAGAAGACACCTGCTGCTGTGGGGTCCCTCAGACGGTGAGCCAAGACACCCAGAGCCATGGCCAGTGACATTCCAGCTGCCACCCAGGGCGTTTGCTGGGCTGCCACTGCCGTCTTCGAGCCCAGCAGGAGGAGTTGCAGCTGGATGCTCTCGGGACTTGACACTGGGCCTCCCTCCACAGTAATCGTCTGTTTTTCTTTATTTTTGTAGAAATTTCTCCTCATTAAATGGTGACTGCCAGCACCATCTAAGAAATACCCTCTGTGACCAAATCCCGGCACAGTTCAGTTTATCCCTGATAAATAAAAAATAACCAATTGAGAAAATGGACTTAACATTTTCAAAGAAAAGAATATCTTCTCTTGAACAAGACAGGAAACTGACAGAGATTCTCTGCCTGGTCAAACTTCTATCAGGTTCCAAACACTCTCCTGGGCCCATCCGTCCGCGTCCGCCCTTCCTGGTACAATCCAGTGCTCCGGAGCACAAGCACAAGCTCCTCCTCATACCTTGTCTTCCTCCCTTTGGGGTTGGGTCTCTTGTCTTGACTGTCCCTGGTGATGGCTGCTCACCCTCATTCAGACAAGAGTACTATGGGGTCAGTTTGGTCAGAGGCTCTCTCACGTTTCTGATTGGTCATCTCCACAGACCCCATTGCAAAGGTCTCTATATCTATGTGAGAATCCTGAAAACAGCTG